AAATTTCAAAATTACAGCCCAGACCTTGCCATGTAAGTAACCATTTGTTAAGTACGCACCTCTTGATTAAGTAAGCAAAATCTTCGTGGGATAAATTTGTCTACTTGACCGGAAGACTACATCAAAATTTTAGGAAAAATGGTAGGAAAGACACGGACGAATGGTTGAGCAAATTCAATGCCAAGTAGGGTTGGAGGCACAGCCTCTACATTTCTTGGAAGTAGGATCCAACTTGGTCCTATGCTCCTTAGGTATAAGAGAGTAAGCCGTGTAACCAAATATCTTTAATCGACTGTAATGAGCAACCCGCTTGTGCCTCAATTCAAACGGAGTTGAAAAATCAATTTCACTTTAAGGAGAAAGATTTACCAAGTAAAATGCGCTATTCGCAGCTTCAGCCCAAATTTTACATGGTAAACACGATTGGCTCATCATACTTCGCACCTTTTCCAACACTGTTTGATTGAGCCGCTCACAAACAGCATTCTGTAGCGGAGTATAAACCGTGGTGAGATGGCGAGTAATCCCCTCTGCTTTGCAGTACTCTCCAAATTCCTTGGAGATATACTCCCCGCCATTGTTTGAATGCAAATATCTCACCCGCACATTCAAGGCTTTCACCTTGTGCACCATCTGAGTCTCAACTTGGGCTCTCTAACTTTTGAAAGTTGCAAAGACTTCAGACTTTTCCTTGAGAAAATAAACCCAAACAAATCTTGAATAATTATCAATGAAAACTACATAGTACCACTTGCCAGATAGTGAGACTACTAGAGAGGGACTCTACACGTCACTATGTACATATTCAAGAATCACCTTGGAGCTGTGAATTCTAACACCAAAAGGCTTTCTATGGTGCTTATCCATAACACAATGCTCACAAAAATCTAAATCACTCTTACCCAAATCTTATCACATATCCTTTTTGTGAAGCAAAGTCAAATACTTGTCACTCATATGACCCATCGTAGAATGCCAAATCTGAGCCATCTCAGGTTGAAATCTAGTGACATTGACTTCTCTGCACATAGTATTACCCTCTAACACATATAGATTCATATGCTTGTTCCCTTTCAAGACAGCTTTATCTCTAGCTTTGACTTGAAGTACACCATCAGCTACCGACCACCAATGACCGTTAGTGTCCAATACACCAAGAGAAATCAAGTTCTTTTTCATCTAAGGAATATATCTCACATTCGTCAATGTGCGAACTACTCCATCAAACATCCTAATCCTCACAGATCCAATACCGACGACTTGACAGGGGTGATCATTCTCCATCAAGACTATACCGTTCAATGCAAGGTAAGAACTAAAGTACTCTCTATTGTGACATAAATGGTATGAACAAGCACTATCAAGAATCCATTCATCATCTCTTCTTTCAGATAATGTGTAGAGAGCATACTTCTGGCATCATAAAGCATAATCATCATTAAGCACATCATACTCAAGGTCAGCACTTGCAACATTTGCATTTATAGAGGATGAATCACTTGCCTTTCCACGACAATCCTTCTTCATGTGGCCAGCCTTGCCACACTTCCAACATAGCAAGATCTTCTTGTCTTGAGACTTCCCTCGAGACTTCGATCTGAAATTTTGCTTGTCTCCACCCGTCGTCCGCTTCTGTGACCTACCTCGGTTCACATTGAGTCCCACTCCGGACGATGTAGAGTATTTTGACTACTGCATCATCTTTTGTTGAAACTCATATGTCTTCAACGCACTCACCACCTCATTGTAGGTGATGATCCTTCTATCTTGAGATAGATTCTTGTATGAAGGAGGTAGTGAACTCAAGAGGTGAAGAGCCTTCCTCTCGTCACTTAACTCCTCATCAAGGTTTTGTAAATCCAACACAAGATCATTGAAAGCATCAATGTGATTTTGTACCTTGGTATTACCATCCTTCATCTTGAAACTCATCAACTTCAAAGATGTGTTGAGTTGATTGGACAACTCCTTTTGATGGTACTTCCGTTGGAGAGCCTCGAACAACGACAAACAATCCCCATACTCTTAAAGCTGCCGTATCACATGGAGTTGTAGATAGAGCATGACTGTATTCACCGCCATCTCTTGCATGTTGTTCGAGTCTTCTCCAGACATATCTTCCGGCTTCGTCTTCAAAAGCTTACTAGAACCGATAGCTTTCAACATGCCCTTCACTTGTCGTTCTCACAACAAGTAGTCCGTACGTCCATCATACTTGGCAATATCAAACTTGGTGCCACCGACCTTCATTGTCTCCATGATGCCTCGCCTGGCCTCTTGGCCTTCCTTTGGTGCTATTTCAATGTCAATATGGTTCTCCGAACTCTCTTCCCCTTGGTATATACGAGTAAATGTGGAAAATTATCCTCAAGAATGAACTCCAGGAGAAAATTCAGGACCACTTGAACATAGCTCACAAGGTAACCTTTTTGAAACTTTAAACAATTTTCAAAACCGACCTCCGAGTGAAATCTTATTTACCGTCAAAGTTGGGGGAGGTCAAAATTGCCAAAAAATACTTTTCTCCCCCGTTTTGACCTACCGGGAGAAATTTGAAAGTGGAAATAATTTGCTTCAAGGACCTTTGGAGATGGCTGGAACGTATGCGTAGTGTACTTTGTCACGAATGCACATTAAATATTTTGGCCAGAAACTGGCACAGTTTGCGCCTCCGAATCCACCGTCAATGGCCAGAATATGACATTATGTTTTTGGAATCAATTTTGAAAGATTCCGTGACATGGGGCGTAAGGCCCTGTCGCATGGGGTGATAGACTCTGTCAAAGGGCCTCGACATGGCCAGTGTCAAAATTTGGGTATGATCTCTTGTAATTTTTGGGAAAAACTTAAAAGGGAAAGTGAAAACGAAGTGGAAGGGGGGAGGGAGAGGAATCGACTTTTCTCCAAAGAAAAGTTAAGTGTTTTAACTTTAAGTTTACACTTTAACTAAATCTTTAAAACCGCGTTTTCAACCACAAAGACGGAATTTGAACTTCGAGAATGTTTTCAAATTTGCTCTTCCGTCACTACGACAGGCCTGTCAGGGATTTCAGGCCCGTCTGAAAAGTACCTTAACTCGCATCTCGCTCCCCCGTTCGCCGTAGACCGCAATTTCGGTTGCAAATCGACCGCGCCGGCTCAATGTCTTCATTGCTCTACTTTTTGACCCGCTTTTTCTCACCAACCAAACGCCACAATGAAAAATGAGTTTGAGGCCGGCCCTAAATGTCCATAGCCGGCGGAAACTCTAGAAGTTGTTTGGTTCGTAACTGTCCGCAAGTCGAAACTCGACTAATCTTGCGCCAATGCGACCGGCTTGCCCCAATCTACGTTTTTCACACAATCTTGCATGTCCACACGCACCGTGACTACTCCAAAATCAAGAAATAATTTTTTCAAATTTCACAGAAAAACCGTAGGTAAAAACTCAAAACCTTCGACCAGAAAACCGTCAAAAAAACCCTAATATGATTACTCCGCGATCCGAACTCCGATTGATCTTGTTCAAGTACCGTTAGAACGTCCTCAAATTTATCTCTCCGATTATCCAAGATTTTCCCACATCCACGCGACGAAACTTCGAGAAAATCTCAAATTGTCAACTAACGTGAGTGCTCGCACGAGCACTCACAAACCCGTCACCTCCCAAGTGGGCTCTGATACCATTTGTTTGACATAGACGGCATACACAGTGAGACATACACGCACGAGAGAAGTCGACACCAAGAGAGAGCGTGGTTCACCTACACTGAGGCTACGTCCACGGGAACAATGAGAACTTTACTAAGACTCTAAGCCATAGCCGTACCGAGTCTCCGCTCTCCAAGCTCTCACGTTCTCACCAAATCACTCCTACACAACAAGTGTTCTATTTTTTAGTTAGTGAGCCCACACAGGCTCACCTATATAGCAAGCAATCCTAACCTAAGCTAGTTCCTAACTAAGGTTAAGCTAACTAGAGTCAGCCAAGACCTAAGAGTTATCCTAGCTGTACGGACAAAAGGTGAGAAACATGATCCATAAACTCAGCTCCAAAATTGCCACCAGTATTCAAGTACAGAGTTAAATCTCCCAATAGTTTCACCTCTTATGAGTGACATACTCTCATTACTGACGTAAAATCCCAAAACCATTAGTTTGTAACTTATAAATCTGCTCAATAAGAACGGTACATCACTATTCCCAATAGAGACATGATATTATACAATAGTGACAATTTTAAATGTAATTTCAGAGTAAAAATTCCTATCATTATCACAATACATAGTTATGAGTCTAAAAATATGTGTCATTTGTACATTTAATGGTATATCTCAACAATTCACACTTTCTGGATTTAAGTAAGGATTTAGGGTTTAACCCTAAACCCATAATTTGCTACATATATTATCATTAATTGTTTCACTTAGATTTATGTGTATTAATCTAAATCAAAATGTAATTTTAATGTCCATGATAACAATACAGATGTGCAAATGAAGGTTGTTTTGAAACCAAACAACACATTTATAGAAAATCTTAGGATTGATGCAATGCACAATAATAAATCTATGAATTTTTTTTAATGTTATTGACACCTCCAGACAGTGACATCTAACCCCAACACCAATGTATGTTACTCTTAGGAGGTTATATTAAAATTATGCACCTTCCAATAATGAGATCCAATTTTCACACCAATGTATGATACTATTAGCAGTTTATACCCACTTTACTCGCAATAGTGACGTAAAACCTAAGTACTATTGGGAGCTTTAACTCTGTAGAGTGGTATGTAGCGGGCCTATCAAACCGGATGGGCTTTCAAGTCCGGCAAACCCGATCTCAGACGCTACAAGAGGCCATGAAGGCCGCGCAAAATTTTGAAAATTCAAAATAGTCCCTCCGGCAGTCTTGAAGACAGGCGAAGGAGGAGAGTTACAAGGCTGCAGGCTAGAATAACCCCGACCGTATGACTGTGAGCCGACGGCATACGGTGACCGTCCTGACGGTATCTGTTGCATCACCGTTGCCTCAAGGAATCACCCGTAGGGCGAGCGACCTCTTGAATTCAAATCCGACCCGATTTGTTACACGTGTTGAAGATGGAAAACGACCCGAGCCCGACACAGGTTAATGCAAGAAAAGCCGATGAAAAGCCATGCGGGCCCGGGTTACGGCCTTGCTCTCGAATCGATCCGAAGTAACTGTGGTCGCGGAGTAACAATGGTCGCCGTGCGCTTGGTGCCCGGGCTTCCGATCCCTATCCTGCAGCTGAGCTTCCAACGGTGAAACCCACGAAATCTAACGGATCGAGAGAAGTTGATCGAAATGATCGACCCAGTGCTTCAAGGCCAATTTGCCGTCAAGGAACTCATCTAGGTTAGCTGCCGCCCATATCCTGACTTCATATGGTGAAGCTTGCTTACTGATGTGCTCGAGCGATTCTGAACGATGTGGTTTCGGGGTTTGGTTGGTTGTGTGATGATAGGTGGCAGCAATTGCAGCCATGTGCGTGCAGCCCGAAGCGGATTACCGACCTCTGGTGACGGATGTGTTCCAAACGTTGGTTCCACTAGTGAAGCAACGAGCGACTTCTAAAGTCGTCTGCACACACAATTTCCATCATCAAATCGTCACTCTGAAATCCTTCTCGATCGACAGTGGACGCAGCGGACACGGCCACAGCTAACTCGACCACTCGTGGCTGATCAGTTCCGAGCTCTCGATTAAATACTTTATGCTGATCTTTGGACTCGGATATCTGAATTTTGGTTGGTGCATTTTGCGGACAACATCTTTATCAGAAGAGAGGTCCCGGCCTTTAAGGGAACAAGAAGACCCCACCAGAAGCATCGAGAGTCCGCGGAGCAGGTTTCAGCCTCTTGAATTGGTCGCTTGCTTGCTTGCTCAACCTCCATGTGAGCTCTCGTCTATTGCCTGCCGTGAGTGTGTGAGAAAAGCTCGCCGATGCATAACTCTGAATAACATTAGGATCAACGAACGAGGTAGCAGAGAACACTATTCTGCCCGAGGTAAATGTAAAGACCAGCATGAGTGGTGGCTTCGTGGGCTGGGCTGGCCGTTGCAGTGATTCAGGTCAGCTCGCCAGGACTAGGACCAAGCCCACGCCAGCACGCACCACCATAGATGTATGATATCCACCCCCACTTCGTGAACAAGAGGCCGGTTCTCGGATCAACGACATGTTGCTGATCGGCTCTAGCAGATAGGATCCAGAGAAATTTGCTCTGGAGGCAATCAAGTTACCGAAGGTGTGAGAGAGATGTGGTTAGATAAGCCCGTCCTTTGGCCAGACTACGTAGGGTTGTTATAGTTGTAGCACTCGAGTTTGCCTGGAGGCATGTGTTGTGAGCACATGAGCACAATTTTTGTTTCGATGCTTCACTCTTGATGTTGTATAAATTTCCTTCTAATAGAATAATGGCAACAAAATTCTACGAAAGATCGTCTTTTCTTTTGGCTATTGTCACATGTATCGTTCTCCTGTTATCTTTTCTTCTTCCACTGCCCTCGTTACCTTTCATTCTATGTATTCGAGTTACGTTTCCTCCCTCCTCGAACATTGAAGCTGGTGATTGAGATCGAAGGATCATGTAACAAATGTCGTCAACCCAACCCTTAAATGTTCCAATGTAACAACGATTTCAGTTCCTTGAGACTCATGGCACTTTAGGACTCGCATGGACCACTAATCATAAGAACACTTACGCGAATGCATTTCTGTAGACTTAGCAGCCCCTGAGAAATCAGATGAACATGATGTACACGTTTATCCTGTCAAGAACTTGATCACATTTTCCCCTGAGAAATCAGATGAACATGATGTACACGTTTACCTTGTCAAGAACCTGATCACATTTTCCCCTGAGAAATCAGATGAACATGACGTAAACGTTTACCTTGTCAAGACCCTGATCACATCTTTTGTGCAAAGTTGAAACTTACTGGGTAATGTTGTTGGTAAGATGAACGATGGTAAGGTCCATGTTAAACTTTGGACTGACCTCATAGAGAATCCTGAGCAAGTCTCCAGCGCAAAGTTTAGACTTAATGCTGCTAGTAAGTTCAACGATGCTAATGTCAATGTTAAGTGATATTAGTTGCACCTGGAAGCGAGAAGCCGATGAGAACTTCAGATATTCCAAAGGGTGAAGAAGCCATCATTCTTGTTGACTCTGCCGGTGGAATGCATTGAGGGTTGTTTAATTATCAGCGAGCAGCTATTTTCAGGTCTCTCATTGTGAGGAGCTGAAGGAAAATATATAAGCCCTCAGTATTTTGTGAAATGGATCGTTGCTCCATTAGGGGTGCATAATGGGAGCCGTTAAGACATGATTGAAATGCTGGAAGATCTAGCAAGACTGACTTGCAAGCGGAGCTCATGAAAACAGACATTGTGAAAACAGTATTTCACATCACGCAACCAAGTAATGGTTGCGTGATAATACCAAAGATCAAACTGCCCTTTGAGCTGACCACGCGTGATAAAGGAGAACAAAATGAACATGTCAACAAGAACCGACTTTTACTTTCTTCTCTCCCGACTCGAGCAGGGTTTGGGGTCTGCACAAGTTACGTTTCAATGACAGACATTATGAAAACAAAGTCACACGATGTACATGGAACAAAAAGATACACAAAAAGGTCGGAAATATTAGAGAGAAATGCAAAATAAATGCCCTCAATAACTTGTAACAGTAACTCAAAATATATAATCAAACCATAGGTCATTGATGCGCAACATGATAGAAAGATAAATAATCACTCTAAACAGTAAACAAATAGATTTATATCTCTTTTCTTTTTAGAATACAAATGATCTCTCTGAAAAATTCTCAATATCCATAATCACACTTGTTTCTAAAAAGAAGAGATTTCGGTCCAACACAATAAAATCTAGTTATCAATCAATTCACTACACCTGATCATCATTTAGATCAATCATATTTGTCCTACCTAAATGTTTTGGCATGAGAAGTTTAGTCACATGCAAAGAGATTCTAGTCAAATCAGTTTGTGGTTTCCTACTCTTACGTTTTCCTCGTAGTTGAATGTTACGTCTGAACAACTCCTCCCTAATTGTCTCTCTTTTTTTTCCTCTAACTTCTAGAATAACATCAGGAAAAATACTGTCATCATAAATAACACATATGATATTTGATCTTTGATGTATGATCCAAATCCTGTAAGTTTTCATAGGTGATAACATATTGGTTACAATAAATATAAGAATAAACTCAAAGACAAAATTAAAACATACATCCAAATATTATTATAAATAATTCAATATAATGCATATTAGAAACACTTACTAAAGAAACTCTTGGTTGTATCAGACGATGTTTTTTCTTCAGATGGTTTTTCACAATTGAATTGTTTCTCTTCTCAACAATCGACAGTCTTCTTTTCAAGATCAAGCCACTTGGTCTGATAAACATGTCGACTATTGTGACTTTCCTGTTTCTAATTGACATTGCTCTTGAATTTTCAAGTCATGCAAGGATCTGTCCATCACAACTAGTGTGCTCTTTGCTATGCTATCACTATTCAATGTCATTTTTTCTATTTGCATCCAAGTTTCTCTTGATTTTTCAAGACAAATGTTTCTCTCATTGAACCTCAATTCTAACACAATTCTAACACAAATCTTGTTCATCTTGAAACTCATCTAACTTTTTAGAGTCTTTTTCTCCTTGCAATTCTTCATCATACCCTACTAACAACTAAGGATCATTTTCTAACAAGTGTAGATCGTTATTATATACCAAACCTTCATATTGTGATCCAGCCCACGTGCCATGTTGTTGAATAATAGATACTTCTTGATGCCCTTTGCACATCAAAGCTCTACATTGATGTTTGCACACGTTGCCTTTCACAGCCCACAGACAATCACACGAAGGTAGCATGGAATAACAATCTCCAATAATGTACTTAGTTTTTGATTTTGGACATGTTATCTCAGCAAAATTTGGCTTTGAGTGATTTGGAATCGCGACCTAAATACAACATAGATAACGTATCATTAAAATGATCAAACACAATGTATGCAAAGTTATAATGAATTATATAATAGAAGCAAAAATCAATGAATACAAATACAAAATCCTACAAATTTTCACCTTAGCGTCTTTCATTTCATATTCTACTGCCTATACACTCGAGATAGCAACTTCTTCCTTTCTCCAATTGACAATCAATCCCATTGCCTTTCTACAAATATTATATAGAAAGAAAGACAGCATGCTTCCAAAAAGCATGTCCAATAATCTGTCAAAACGACGAGCTTTCAAACCACCTATCATTCTTTGAATCATTTTTTTCATTGTTAGATGCCAAGTTTCTACTGCTCCATTTCTCATCTGGTTTGCGTGATCAAATCACCAACCATTTGTCTATGAAAGCAACACACCAAAAATTTGTTAAATATTGTACTTAGAAACAATAAAAACATAATTTATGTCATTAGCGTAAAGGTAGCATACATGGGCTAAAACAGGTTATCTCATGAAAGTACTATACCAATTCAAAAACTCAATTTCTGAAACAAATCTCGTTTGAAATTACATCCAATGTTCCCACATCCAAATTTCACTATCAGCATACATCAATTCTCCAAGAACATCTGACATTTGAAATATAAACTTTTGGTTTTTCACTTTTTGGATCAAATTTTCCTTTTATGCTTTGCATACATATAATAAGTGAATTAGATTTTAATATGTAAATATTATTAAAATATATTTCTATACTAATATAAGCATTATACATGCATCTACATAAAAATCATTACATTAAACATAAAACATCTCAAATTTACCTTTCTTCAATATCTTCATGACACATTTTACTACACAATGTACTAAAAAAATTCAACAAATCAAAATATAATTTAATCAAAACTTACATCATATTTGGTATCGCAAACATGCTATGCAATGCAAGGGGGTTTATTTCGAGAATAATGAATCATCATCCTTAATTACCATTTGGATTGCATAATCGACATGAAATCTTGAGACATATTTGCATATTTATATTGTTGATGTAGAGACAAAAAATGAGTATGCGTATTGATCCAAATCTGCACAGAGTGTTGATCGTTGTCATGAAACATATAAATTTCCCTCGTCATCTTTACTTTTCTGTATTGCAGACCTTTTAGATGAATAGAGTCATCTCTAGCTAAACCATGAAAGCGGAGCTAGATTATTGAAAATACAATCTGGATCTCCTATTTGAATCTGCTTTAAATGCATATCAAAAACCTGAGTAACAATCCAATCCCATCTAAACAAGTACTCTAAATTTTTCCTAAGCCCGTTTGTAATTCTTGGTACATATGCACACTTAGGACTCCAAGAGACATCTTCATTTTCTGTAATTCTTCCATGACACTTCTAGTCTTTATCATTACAATGATTTCTGCAATATAAATGTACAAATCAATTTAAATTTAATCCATGTACATAAAATATCGCACAATGATAACATAAAAATCAACAAATTCAGATAAAAAAAGATTCAAAACAAATTACACAGATTTGTCTGCAACATATGATTGCAATATCAGATTTGGATTTGTAATATGTGACAATAAAATTTCAAACACATAATCTTTTCGATTGATATTGAAGTTTATCTTTTTGGATCATGGTTTACTGTTGTCACCTTTACTGAGAGTGGATAGGTGCCTTTCCTGGATATTATGTCTGGAATCTTAGATGGCTGATTAAATGGTCCAAAAGCACACCGGTAAATTACAGTTTTGATCCTTCGGATCTGGTTTAACATTTGTTAGCTTTTTCCAAAAAGTTATCTCAAAATCTATTTTCATCTATCTTCACTAGATATCGCAGCTAGCTATCTCCACTAACGCAGAGCAGCTAAAAACTAGGATCGAAGAAAAGATATCACGCAAATAATTTGTTAGTGCGACGACAAGCTATGTCTCATCGCCCCAAGCCTCAGGAAAGCTATCTTCATCAGAGAATGACGCATGTCCCAAGTCCATTGCAAATCATTTACATAGAATATGTTTGAATAAGATGATTGAACAAAAAATAAACTATCCATTACATATATTTATCTTCTAAACAATTGAATCAAATGAATGTTATGTTTCATTGACAATAAAAAAAATCATTAAAAATTACAACGAAACTTCATCAGCAAGCGCATGTGATGCTCGAACGAAACTAGAATAGTGCAAAATAGTTATGGTACCTTCGCGGTGGTGGACCAACTTATGAACCACAAAGCTATTCCAAAACAACTCCCCAATGTACACTATGCAAAACGGAAGAAATATTCCAGAAGAGTACAAATAGACATAATGTTAAGAAGCCAATTTCTATACATTTATGTGTAGAATAAAGAAAAAATGTATTCTAAATTGCAAGAATGCTAACAATGTTGCAAAACAAGTTAACGATTTGAACCCAAGACATTCTGATTGTGAGCATGAAGAGTTACCAATTACTCTATCCTCCAAACAGCCAACAAAAAAACAAGCATCTTAATGCTTCCCTTAGGGCAACTTTATATAATTGAAAAAAATACAGGAAATCATAAAAAAAACTTGGCCTTTAATAGGTTATCTATGGATAAATAGATAAACCTGAAAAACAGCCTGTAGAGCATAAAAAAAGAAAAAACCTAAATGAGTTTAAACACAAAAACCTAAACCTTAAACCTAAAAATCAAATTCCGCCTAAATTCCACATAAATTTTGCATGTACAAAATCATCTCCTTTTATTTATTTTTAACGTACCCTACAAGACTCCATAATGCTTCACTTCGGTCAGTCTAATATAATTGAAAAAACACGTGAAAGCATAAAAAAAAAACTTTGCCTTTAATAGGTTATCTATGGATAGATAGATAAAGCTGAAAACCGGCCTGTAGAGCATAAAAAAAGAAAAAACCTAAATGAATTTAAACCCAAAAATCTAAACGTTAAATCTAAAAATCAAATTCCATGTTATAAACTGCAGTATTGATGGCATGAATGTTTCTAATTTCGCGTTACCATGATTTCTCAAGTTTCCATGTGCGACCGCAGTACACGTATGGGGAGCTCGTACAAATCATCGGATCCAAAGATGGAGGCTGTGTCGCTCAGTTTGGTCCGGTGAATGATCGCTGGATCATGAGAGACTCTCCAAAGGACAATTTTTAACATCCTGCATGAGATCGCGAAGCTCAGTCACCAACAAAGCATATCGTAAATAAATAACAATAGTTGATTTAGACAGGTAGTCAACCTAGTGCACAGTCAAATGAATCACTTTTGAAAAAATCAAAAGGGACTCTTTCTGGAAAAGAAGAATAAAATCCCATTAAAGTTCAACTCTATTTCATCTATCATACTTCTTCACGACCATCGTTGCGAAACTAAGTCGACATTAAGATACAACCATTGGCTACTGTACTGAACATTCTACTAATGGCAATGCCTGTATCGATGCTGTCTATTTGTAAACACGGGCGGAATTAAAATTTAAATAGGAAAGCGCAATCAAAGACATGTTTTTCAATCCGATAGTTTGGATGGGAGGATGGGCAGGGTCTATTCTATCTATTCAAAAATAAGTTGGTTGTGTTTAGAATCTAATATCATTCTGCCTATCGACGGTGGCAACACACTGCCAGCACGATACGTAAACGGGCAAATCTGCTGCATAGATTCCAAGAGCAGAAAGCCTTCTCCCATATTCCTGAGTTGAAAACAAATAGCTTGAGAAAGTTTAGAAAACAGGAATGAGTGAGCCAAAAGCAACATACAAGCAGAAACCTAATCAAACCTCCAAGACATGGATGAAGGAGTGCCCAACCCATTTTGCAAATTACCATGTATCAAAGTTTACGCTCCACCTTGCCAAGATTCTGCCGCATGTAGACAGAGTTCTGAAAGACACATTGCTCAATACAAGACAAGTATATCCAAAAGTAAGACTTTCCATACCTGGACATTAAGGAAGAGCTGGACACATATTTTGTCAGTATCTGATATACTGTTTTCACTTGTATCTGCTGCCTCAAGAAATCTACTAATCGCAATGCCTGTATCGATGCTATCTATTTGTAAACACGGGCGGAATTAAAATTTGCGTGCGTGCCCAGTTCTAACTGCATGCTCAGTTCTTAAACATCCAAGAACATCCGCGCCCATGACGACGTTCAGTAAATATGAAAGCGCAATCAAAGACATGTTTTTCAATCCGATATTCCTCTCATCCGAGGGCAATGCACGGCGCAAAGTTCTACCTAATTCCATACGACGTTCCATGCTTTGTCAAAGCTTCCAACGATCTAGTCTAAATGCTAAAACTTCAAAATTGCAAACACTGATTACCGAAAGCGAAGTCGATCGTGAAAATAAAGGTTGTCGTCAAGAGGAAAATTGCATACCTGTGGTTGGGATGTGTTCCACTCGCCGCTTCCGACTACATATATTTTCAACATTTCGGCGAATGTAGAGAGCTGATACTAGTGGATGATGTAGTACATAGTCCGCATGAAGTTTTGCGGATTCTCCAAGCTTCGGGTATTCACCTCTCGCTGTATACTATGATTCGCCGGAGTCTTGTAGGGTCAAAAACAAGTTCAACATACTACTCGCCCAAAGCTGTGTAGAAGAAGCTCGGTCCTAGGAATAGCACTCGATTTCTAGCAACTGCCCGGAAAGACAGCGCGGAAGATTGATGTTGATGACTCTCTCTGTGCATGCACTCGGAGTTCGATACTGGGAGAAAATGTCAAGCTACAGTACAGTACCCAGACTACACTCTACCCAGACTTCTGCGCATGGACACCCTCATAATTCTCCAGAAAATAAATGTTTTCCTTTCGATGACACCCAGGCTGACATCAATGGTGTCACGGATTGCGGGCAGAACTAGAAGCGGAGAGGAGCTTCATTCGGCAAACCAAAATTTTCTCTGGCAGACGTGAAGAGCATTTTAGCCACTAGGTTCGCTTTGGCTTCTTTGATGCCCGGACAAGTATCAAATGTGTCCTCCAGCCCCGGACTTTTTACTGATGGATCAAGTGGATTCATAGACTAGTTGCGCACTTTTGCACAGTTTCGTCAGCTGCTCTAAATGGGGTCCCTGTGATTAAGCGGAATGCCGAAAGAATGCGCAGGGGATCACCTACAAGATACAGGCCTGCAGAAGGTAGAGTTAGAGAAGGTAGGCCTCCTCAGTTGGGCAAAGGGCAGGTTCTTGTAGATCTTGTTTGCCGAATTTTGAACCGTGCCGATAGCTTGACTTCGCTTTCACAGATGGGCATCAAGCTCGATCCGTTCCATGTCAGTGAGGTCCTCAAGCGACAAACATATGTGACTCTCGCACGGAAATTCTTTCAGTGGGCCACTTCACAGACAGATTACCAGCATAATGCCTTCACCTACAACGTCATGGACCCGAACTTGATCTGCAGCATGGCGAGCGCGATCGCGAGCCTCCGAGGCCTTTTACCGAATACCACTACGCTGCCCCGTTCGGCCGACCCCCGGCGCGGATGCTCTGACAAGATGCTTCGGATTTTTGAGTCATATTTCTCGATTAAATTTTCCAATTTCTTGCGAGCTAGCAATCCCCCATCGCCAGCCATCCGTCAAGAATTGTGTCAGAAGAAAAGCCGGTGTTGGGCGGGAAGGGGGAAACCGGGTTACCGTGATAAGAAAACCCGGTCTTGTCTTGGGCGGAAGGGGAAAGCGGGTGACGGTGACGGCAAATGAGAAACGGTGTACGTATACCGTAGACCCGGAGAGCATACGACTCGCTTAGTTGCACAAACTTTTACAAACGGACGAACTGCAAGTTGTCAGGGATCTCAGTTTCTTTCTCCTCTTTCTTTCTTTCTTCATCCTGCCTTCGGGCTGCCCCGGATAAGCCGGATTTTATCTCAGTTTTGGGAACGGGGAGGCGGGGCGCTTTGCGGGGAGGGTCGGCGGACCCTACATTCCGGCAACCATGTAGAGGCCATCAACCGGATGAAATTCCAACAACCATGTAGAAGAGAGGCCGTCACTGTAGAGGCCGGAACGTTGTATCTAATGCGTTGCAATGATCTACGCCGTAACAATGATCGCAGTCGTGTCGTGGAACGTTGCGGGAACAAAAAACTAAAACAAAACTGCAAGAGGTATGGCTCAGATGGAATCCCTAATGTTCAACTGTAATATTTGTAATCAAACGGTGATAACAAATTGAGGCGACGAAATTTTAAGCGGCAAAGATTAGGGTTTTTGAAAATAGAATCACATCAATATTCTCCAGCTTGTCGTTTCGACGTCGCTTTTGGGTGCCAGTGTCAGTGCTTTGAGGAGCTTGTGCCAGAGCTCGTGCTTGTACTTTTCTTGTCATTTCAGGTGCTTTTGCAGGTGTGGTGACAGCATGGAGGCAGGATGGATTGTGCAGGACCCACCTTATGATGGCCCTTTCAATTCGTTAATGTTGAATTGGTCAAATGGGACGGCCTACATCAAAAGCTCGAGGCTTAACGATTTTGTTTCGGGAGAGGGATCTTGTCATAGTGATGCGAAGACAGAATTTGTGACACGTTGCTCATACAAGGGTGGAGGTACTAGGCACAATTGGGAATCGTATGCAATGTATTATTGCAAGTATGGTACTCCAGAAAGGAGCAAGAAGAGTATGCTTTCCTCGAATTTTATTCAAGATCCATCAACAAAGGCAAAATTTGGTCATTGCAGCAGGGATAGACTAGATCATGATTCGCATCACAAGGGCTGTCAGTGCAGGTTTAGTGTCATTAAACTGTTGTCTAATGATCACATTCCATCAGGAATCACAAAATTGATATACAAGCATAGAAGACACGTAAATGCTGCAGGTGTAGCTTGTCATGGCACAGCGTGTTCGGATAGTGTTGGCTTGCCATCTCAAATGGCGCGCAATTTATCCTCTGAATGCAAGTAACGGCATATTTGTTACATTTTCAATGTATTTGTTTATCGTTCACAGTCAATCTCCCGTCATATTTGTAATATCTACAATAAGTTTGTTGTTATTACAGTTTGTAAAACTTTGACACTAAGCAAGCACGTTGTCTAATATTTTCTACGTTCTTATGCCAGGGAGTGGGTTGAATGCGAGTTAAGAAGAGGTTTAACTCCTCCACAAATTTTCATGCGTGCTGCAAAAGCACTGTTCTAAAATCATCAGCGCTTAGGGTATGTGCAAGGGACCCCTATTAGAGATCATTATATCACATCTACCGATGTGTATAATGTGTCAAATTGGAACTGGACAAAGAAACTTGGAGAAGGCATGCTAATGATAGAATTAGCACACAATTATGGATGAAAGCGAATTCATCTCAAGTTGTTTTGTATCAGGCACCAAAAAGTGATCCATTTAAACCATTGAGGCTTGCTCTTACAAGACCCTTGCTCCTAGATTGGTTGCTAAAACATGGAAATGGAGGTTGTGTTGCTATAGATGGAACGCATGGCACGCAGAAGTATAAGGTAATATTCTACTTGTTCATTTTGATGTTTTTATCATCAGGCTTCCATGATTATGTATATTCTACCTTACTATTTGCAATCTCTGCAAGATATTTGAAAAAATGACGGTTTGGAGCTTTAACCAGTCCTGTAAGACATTATTGAACGTCTCAATGTGTGCTGTATATGTTGTTTTATATACTTTGATCACGTCTAAATTATCAAGACATAAAAATAGCGAATCATTCATTTGTATCAGGTTTAGCTTAGTATCAATGAAGATGAATACTTTGTAGACGATTGCTAGCAGCAAACTGATACGGTTATTTCATTTTTTGCAATGCAGTATCCACTGTACACCCTGATGGTGTTTGACGAATATGAACACGGACATCCTACTATTTTTGGATTCCTCGAAAGAGAAGAAACAGAAGATCTGGTGGATTTATTATCTGCAGCGAAGAAGATGGCCCAACATTATATCCTATGATATTAGTGTGCCTATGAGTTTGATGAAACTTATTAAACTGATGTGGAATGGCAGAGCAAGATAGTGAAAACTAGTAGTTTGATGATCTTTGATTTATTGATGAAAAAAAATACTTACCTGTAATGTGTTTTATTCTACTAAGAAATGTCATTGCTTGTTGAATTTTTAAATTATTCAGTAAATATTAAACATTTAAATATAAAAAAAAGTGTCTTTTGGTCACTCTTTCACTCAATAGTGTATTAACAACTGTGCTCATTTTGATCCTTTATCATATGACAAGTCGACGAAAATGGCCAACTTTATCTGCTAGATTGGAAAGCTATTGATTCGAGTGGAATGGAACACGCGAGGCAGTTCATCTGTAACAAATAAATTCAGAAAACTAGACAGACCTAGGAAGCACAGGAACAAGAGAAAAAGCATTGCAATTGTAATATGTGCCACACTGCGAAAGTGTGCAAAAGTAGTGGGAGCATTGGTTGCATAGTGTAGGATAGAGTTATAGAGTTATAAGCCAACTGTCCTGTATCGAGAGATGTGAAGTCTTCCTTGCCTACGTTCTCTGAGCTCTTCTCTGATGTACACCTTTAGAGTCCCCCGAAGAAGTCTTTGAGCTCGTCTGTACAGATATGAGACCAAACACTATAAAACTAAACTGCTTATATATATTTATATTTACACAGACGAAGTATTAAGAAGGACAGCGGAAAACTTGGATTCACGTAAGGTCGTAAGAGCTTGAGCCTCACGGAAAACCAAATCTCGTATTCCCACTAAAGCAGATCGGGGTCTGCTTTGATTGCAAGATCAACCAGGTCCGTGGGTCAGTGGAGTTCTCCACTGACTTCCGAAGCCCAATCCTTTGCTCTTGTACATAGTTTACAGACTGTTGCAGTTGTATAATATGTCACTAATTTGCAATTCGAATGAAATATATGGCCAGATTTCCTGCAATATGCAAACCGCAGTGGAAGTGTCACCACTTGTATCCCACATTTTAGACGCAGTACAACGTCTACAGAAATAATTTTCCTTCACTTTCCACTGAACGGTTCATACTCGAATGTGCGTATTAATTTGCCGTTCAAGATTGAAATCTTGCTTTTGTTGCTTTAGGATGGCATGCTGCGTATCTCAATCGTGGACCACTGCAGCTGCCGCGCACTTTTCTTAGATCGTCAGAGAGACGGGAGACTTCTCCAAATCTAACTAGTTGAACATCGCAGTAAATCTTCAATCATCGCCATGAAAGAAGCCCGAAGCTACGGTGGTCAATCATGTGTTGACCACCGTAGTGTATCTGACACTCACTCATTTATTGTACGAGCGATCAGAGAGCTAATCGGGACATTGGCCCTCCGAAGCAATTCTGTAACGAACATTTACAACTATGAGCTCACCAGGACACTGGCCCTCTGGAGCATCTCTGTAACGAACATCAACATTAACTTCTAGTTGGGATGGGGTGTGCTTATGCTAGAAAGGTTGGTTGCTGCAAGTTCAATAGAGTTTTATGCATATCTTTAGCTGAGCTTCATCATCCTCAGGCTCCATCTTGACGAATTCTTAACATATCTTTTTGCAAAAACACTCACTACTACGCCAATTCTTTTCTGTGTACGGTCAGGTATCTAAAACTGTCAAACAGGTGTGGCGGAGTTCTAAACGTTTTCTTTCTGTTCATATACTTTTGTCCAGACTTCCCATATCATTATTCTAGTTACTTCTAAAATCGATGCTAATTACACCATTTTAGAATTAGAGTAACTTGTGTTTTTGCACATTAACTAAATGCAGTGGTCTCTCTTTGATGACTGTTTTATTGTCCGTTAGTCAACAGTTGTACATAGAGAATTGTGAAGTAGAGTTTTGATTTCATTCTTATGATATAACGTGCATGCTTGTTGCCCATTAAGGACTTTCTTTCCGCCGTCCAGGCTACTGCTTAGACTTAGGATGTTGGTTTCCAGCGTACAATATGTTTCTTGATCTATCACGACATTTCTTTGTTTACAGATGAGTTATCATCCTGGGATCATCTATAGGAGTACTTATAAAACTTCATGAATTCTGCACAGGTTCTTCAAAGTCTTACTGAGGGTAGCACTCCTTCTTAGGAGCTCATTGCCACTGTTAAAAAGTTATACGAGACTAAGCTGCAGGTACGCATTGATCAACTTCCTGTCAAAAGCTGGGACTACAGACAATTCATAGACTAGACATCACAGTTAGTTTTGCCTGTGCTGCTGTACAGCACAATGGATTCTAATGTGACAGTTTACATTATCTTTTGTAGCAAGGTACATACAATTTGTATCTCTTGTGATTTGCTCTATGTTCTTTGACATCAGAAAATTGGAAGGCCGCCCTTAGTAGGAACATGTAGATTTTTATACAGTAGTTACGGCACAACACCAAGAGCACATTTTGGGTGGAACTTCATTCAATATCTTCAGGAATTTGTTGACTGAATACAATGCTTATTCGTATTGGTTTATTGAACCTTGACAGAAGACTCTTGTTGCGAGCCAGCGGTGTAGTGAGCGGC